AAATAGACTCAAATTAATAAAATCACGAATGAAAGAGGAGAGATCACAACCAATACTAAGGAAATACAAACGATTTTTAAAAGCATATTATGAGCAGCTACATGCCAATAAATTAGGCAATCTAGAAGAAATGGACATATTTCTGGAAAACTGCAAAGTACCAAAGCTGGAACAGGAAGAAATAGAAAACCTGAACAGGCCAATAACCAGGGAGGAAATTGAAGCAGTCATCAAAAATCTCCTAAGACACAAAAGTCCAGAGGCAGATGGCTTCTCAGGGGAATTCCATCAAATGTTTAAAGAAGAAATAACAGCTATTCTACTAAAGCTGTATCACAGGATAGAAAGGGAAGGACTAGTTCCAAACTCATTTTATGAGGCCAGCATCACCATGGTTCCAAAACTAGACAAAAAAAAACCACCAAAAAGGAGAATTATAGACCAATATCCCTGATGAACACAGATACAAAAATTCTCAACAGGATACTAGCCAACAGGATCCAACAATACATTAAGAAGATTATTCAGCATGACCAAGTGGGATTTATCCCTGGGATGCAAGGTTGGTCCAACACTGGTAAAGCAAGCAGCATGATAGATCATATCAACAAGAGAAAAAAAAAAACCATATGATCCTCTCAATAGATGCAGAGAAAGCATTTGACAAAATACAGCATCCATTCCTGATCAAAACTCTTCAGAGTGTAGGGATAGAGGGAACATTCCTCAGCACCTTAAAAGCCATCTACGAAAAGCCCACAGCAAATATCATTCTCAGTGGGGAAGCACTGGGAGCCTTTCCCCTTAGATCAGGAACACGACAGGGATGTCCACTCTCACCACTGCTATTCAACATAGTACTGGAAGTCCTGGCCTCAGCAATCAGACAACAAAAAGAAATAAAAGGCATTCAAATTGGCAAAGAAGAAATCAAATTCTCCCTCTTTGCAGATGACATGATACTGTACATAGAAAACCCAAAAGACTCCACCCCAAGATTGCTAGAACTCATACAGCAATTTGGCAGTGTGGCAGGATACAAAATCAATGCCCAGAAATCAGTGGCATTTCTATACACTAACAATGAGACAGAAGAAAGAGAAATTAAGGAGTCAATCCCATTTACAATTGCACCCAAAAGCATAAGATACCTGGAGTAAACCTAACCAAAGAGGTAAAGGATCTATATCCTAAAAACTACAGAACACTTCTGAAATAAACTGAGGAAGACACAAAGAGATGGAAAAACATTCTATGTTCATGGATTGGAAGAATTAATAATGTGAAAATGTCAGTGCTACCCAGGGCAATTTACACATTCAATGTGATCCCTATCAAAATACCATGGACTTTCTTCAGAGGTTGGAACAAATCATCTTAAGATTTGTGTGGAATCAAAAAAGACCCCGAATAGCCAGGGGAATATTGAAAAAGAAAACCAGAGCCACAAGCATCACAATGCCAGATTTCAGTTTGTACTACAAAGTTGTGGTCATAAAGACAGTGTGGTCCTGGCACAAAAACAAACACAGATCAATGGAACAGAACAGAGAATACAGATGTGGGCCCTCAACTCTATGGTCAACTCCTCTTTGACAAAGCAGGGAAGACGATCCACTGGAAAAAAGGACAGTCTCTTCAATAAATGATGCTGGGAACATTGGACATCTTCGTGCAGAAGAATGAAACTAGACCATTTTCTTACACCAGACACCAAGGTACACTAAAAATGGATGAAAGATCTAAATGTGAGACAAGAATCTATCAAAATCCTAGAGAAGAACACAGGGAACTTCCTTTTTGAACTTGGCCACAGCAGCTTCTTGCAAGATACATCCATGAAGGCAAGGGAAACAAAAGAAAAATGAAGTGTTGGGACTTACTCAGGATAAAAAGCTTCTGCACAGCAAAAGAAACAGTCAACAGGACTAAAAGACAACTTACAGATGGGAGAAAATATCTGCAAATGACACATCAGATAAAGGGCCAGTATCCAAGATTGAGAAAGAACTTCTTAAACTCAACAGCAAACAAACAAACAATCCAATCATGAAATGGGCAAAAGACATGAAGAGAAATCTCACAGAGGAAGACATAGACATGGCCAACATGCACATGAGAAAATGCTCTGCATCACTTGCCATCAGGGAAATACAAATCCAAACCACAATGAGATCCCACCTCACAGCAGTGAGAATGGGGAAAATTAACAGGGCAGGAAACCACAAATGTTGGAGAGGATGTGGGGAAGGGGGCACCCTCTGCACTGTTGGTGGGAATGTGACCTGGTGCAGCCACTCTGGAAAACTGTGTGGAGGTTCCTCAAAGAGTTAAAAATAGACCTGCCCTAAGACCCAGCAATTGCACTGCTGGGGATTTACCCCAAAGGTACAGATGCAGTGAAACGCATCTGGGACCCCTGCACCCCAGTGTTTATAGCAGCAATGTCCACAATAGTCAAACTGTGGAAGGAGCCTCGGTGTCCACAGACAGATGATGGATAGAGAAGCTGTGGTCTCTGTATACACTGGGATATTCCTCAGCCATTAGAAACGACGGATCCCACCATGTGCTTCGACGTGGATGGACCTGGAGGGTATTATGCTGAGTGAAATAAGTCAATCAGAGAAGGACAAATATTATATGGTCTCATTAATTCGGGGAATATAAAAAATAGTGAAAGGGAATAAAGGGGAAAGGAGAGAAAATGAGTGGGAAATATCAGAAAGGGAGACAGAACATGAGAGACTCCTAACTCTGGGAAACGAACTAGGGGTGGTGGAAGGGGAGGTGGGTGGGGGGTGGGGGTGACTGGGTAACGGGCACTGAGGGGGGGGCACTTGGCGGGATGAGCACTGGGTGTTATATGTTGGCCAATCGAACTCCAATATTTAAAAATCTGTGATGAAAACGAACAATTATTTTAAATTAAAGAGTAATTTAATTATTGCTACTGGTTATCTCTTCCCCACTGGATTCTAAATTCCAAACAGGTAGGAATTATACCTAATTCACTTATATTCTATTCGGGCTGGCAAATAAGCACTAATTTGAAGGCGTATTTTCTTTAAAAATATTCCTTGTCTTTAAAAATCTAGTAATTCGTAACAACTCCATACGTCAAGAAGAAAGTTCCTGGAGTTTTAGTTTTTGACCTTGGAACTAGCTTGAAATGGCTTCTAATCTTGTGGGACAAAAATTCAGAAAATAAGGCTGTGGTCCGGTATTGAAAAATCCCTGGGCCCTTAAGAAAATTAAGGGGCAAATATGCTACTGTGCATAAGGGTTAGAGGATAAAAGCTTTTATTTAACAGATTCCATCTCTGACAGATAATGACAAATATTAAGAGAAAAAGTTCCTTTCTGGTCCTTTAGGTAGCACTGGCAGGTTTAATAAATACCCGTGGAGGCCCAATCAGGATGGTTCTGCACAAAGTGTCGGGTGTGCCACTGATACTTGTTAGGATTCTAGCGAGGGCATGAATGTACATTTGTTTCAATACTCAGGAGCTGAATACTTAACATTGAAGAAAGAACAGAAGTAGCACAGCACATCCTTGATTTCATGGTATTAAAAACCAAAAAGTTAAAGCAGCAGCAGCAGCAGCAGCAGCTCCCTGGCGATCCACCAAAGCCCAAGCACAGGGGCGATGCTCGGGGATGCTCAGACACCCAGGCAGCTCCTTGCTGGGGTCCACCACAGACTCCAACAGCAGCTGGCACAGAACTGATGTAGAAAAGGCATCTATTTAATAATAAAAAAAAAGTTTCCAGAAGGCTCAGGCAGGATGTAGAATTTTCTACCTGCTGCTCTGAATGTCAAAATCTGAATAAAGCTCAATGAAGTTGTGGAGTAATTACAACATTATGAGAACCAAATCCCTTTAAGAGGTCACAGTCTCTTTATTACTGACTGATCATAAACAGTGTATTCTTCTCAGGGAGGAACTTCTTTCCAGGAAAATATTTTAATGAATTGCTCACGTTGACTGTTACTAATAATTATTACTTTTAAATTCTAATGGTTTTATTTTTAATTGTATTTATGATCTGTTGGTTATGGCACATAAAACGATTTTCCATTTACAGTAGTGGTAAAATAAAAAATAAAATAGCCTCACCAGTAGGTGTTTCTTGTCTGACTTTATAGCTAACCCACAGTGAGACAAAGTCACAGGTTATGTGTGTACATAAATCTTTGTGCCTTTAAGATCAATGTGAATTATATTACTGCATTCTGAGAAATAACATTTAAGAAGATATTTATGTTTGTTTTACAGGTTACTCCTCTATCCTCTATTCTGTATCCCGACTGGCCAATATTTTTAAGCAACAGATACTTCTCTTTCTCATTATTAGCCCTCCAAACCTAACATCGAGTGTTAGAATAACCAATTGAGTCAAGCATAGATACCCTCATTTAGTTCTTTTGAACTAATATAATCCAGCAAAAAACACAATTCATTCTTATGTTTTTGTTATTTTTAAAAATAACGGTTGGGTATATTTATAATTTTAAAACATTTCAGAAAAAAAAAATGTCACAGTAAACCCTTTATCAAAAGAAAAAACTGTTCCAACTTCCTCACTCTAGAATAAAGTCACTTTTTACTCTTCACTTTTCTATGAATAAGCATTGTTTTCAGGCTGCTATAGCTGTGACTTTCTGTAAGTAACCCAGCCTGTGTGTGTCTCAGCTTCTAAAACTACAAAATACATATAATACTAGATTTAGGTGATTCTAAATAACTCCACTGGCCCTCGTTAGTAAAAACTTTGCTATGTAACTTGTTGCATGCTGCTTCAATTCTGAACATCTGGTTTTCCCAACAGCTTGCAATCTGAGGTCTTTGGTTTACCATTTTCCCAGACTCAGTATATTAATTAAGGGATTTAAGAGGTCTTGTTTTTGCTTATGGGTTGTTTAATCTTAAACATAAGATTTTAAGAAATAAGCCTAAATGTTTACTTGTTTTCATTAAAGAGAGCACTGCAAAATCTGCATTTATTTTGCTCAAACCCAAATGGTTTTATTTAAAGACTAACCAGTGGCATCAAACACTGGAACTGAAGGATAATTACAATAGTTACATTCCAAAAACCTTTATATAAAAACTACACCTAAAATCATGCTTAGGCAAAATATGCCAAAACAGATACGGTACAATGTATACAGACATATATATCACTCTGCATTAAATTTTTCAAAAAACACACAGAGAATACAATAATTTATATTTATAAAGAACAGCTGTTTATACAAACACAATTTTGAAGAATGACACAAACTCAGAAAATGTAATCAGAGTATTCCTTCTCACACATAGGCTATTAACGCCCTAGTATTTCAAAATCCTTTATAAAAGGAGATAGCTTAATGACTTCTCATTCAGGGACTTTTTTTAATGTTACTTTTTCTTCTTCTTTTTTTCATCTGCTTCCATTTTAAGCTTAACTTCTTCAGCTGAAAGAGCTCCCAGTTTCTTATTCTTTGCTTTTTTAATCTTTTCCTTGATGGCAGCCACATCAATTTTATTTTCAGTAGAAGCTAGACAAATTAAAAATGATACATGTAATTCTTTAGATTTTACCAAATAAAACATAAAGCATGTATTTGGTTCAATAATTTCAGAGTACTGTAACAGGTGAGATGTCATATAAAATATAAAACACCTGCTTAAATGAAAGACATTTAAGACGAAACAAATCATAAAGTACTTTAAAAATACATTAAGTACACATGCAAATGGCATTATAGTTTAGTTTTTCAGTTACTAAATTCAATATTAAAGCTGCATTTATTTCCTTTAAATTGCACTTGGTAGTAATTATTTTTATATTCTTTCCCATATTTTAGAACTTTATATAGAGTACTCATTTTCCATTCTGCACATTAACATAAAATTACATTTCATGAATATTAACATGTAGCCCTTCTAGCTTCCATAATTTTAATTAATCATGAAGATTTAGATCAAAATCTACTTTATCTATTACCACACATAAAACCTTAAAAATAGGGGCGCCTCAGTCGGTTAGGTGTCTGCCTTCAGCTTGGGTCATGATCTCAGGGTCCTGGGACTATGAGCCTCCAGTCTGGATCCCTGCCTTGCAAGGAGTCTGCTTGTTGTCCTCCCTATGCCCCTCCCCCTGCTTATGCTCTCTAAGGAATAAATAAAATCTTTTTAAAAAAAAACCCTCAAACTTAAAAATAAAATTTTCCAAGTATTAGTTCAATGAATGACTAGTAAAATTTTATTTAACAAGGCCTTGGTAATAAAGGTAATAATCTGAGAATATCTGGAGACCCTAACAGAACCCAGCCATGGACTCAATAACAAAAACTTGAATAATAAAGAGAGAGGGGAAAAAACTGTAGCTTTTCCTCACCATTTAAAAAACAGTATTCAGAGCACAGGAGAATCACAATAAAACATTATCAGACTTAATGCCATCACTATCATGAAACAGCTACATCCCTAATCATTATAAACAGAGACTATTACTAAAATAGTAATAGGTCTGGTTTTGACCAACAGGTCAGTCAGGTACAGTGATGCCAGTGACTTCCCTCCCCTCACTGTGCACTGGCTACTCTGGAAAAGTACTTCAGAAAGAGCACAAGTGTTACTAGCGGGAAGGAAAATGTAGAAGAGGAATGGATGGATCAAATGAGGCTAGGAATGGAGAAGAAAAAAACACAAGTCTCGGAGGTTTTTTTTTTTTTTTTTTTTAAATCTTAGACAAAGAGCACACATGGAAGGAGGGGCAGATAGAGAAAATCCTCCAGCAGACTCCCCACTGAGCAGAGCCCAATGACAGGCTGGGGGGGGGGGGCGCCCTCCATCCCATGAGCTCATGACCTGAGTGGAAACCAAGAGTCAGATGCTTAACTGACTGAGGCACCCAGGCGCCCCACCCTGGGTGTCTTTTTAAAAGCCCCAAGACCTTCCTGTTGTTTTGATGGTGTCCTTTAGCCCAAGGTCATCAGAAATCCGTAACAATAAAGGGATCGAATTTAAAGCCACAAATCACATAAACAGAGAGAAGAAAAGTGTAACTTCTGATAAGCTCTTTCTGAGGCATGATAACAGAGCTTGGGGAGTTCAGTGCTTTAGTTACTCTTACATCTACAGAGGATTCACTGCTCTAGTTTATAGCTTCACAACGAGTCCTTGCCCAGAACAATCAGAGGTCAGGAAAGGACTGTCAATGCAAGATACTCTTTAAATAGGCACTAGTTGCTAATAAAACACCTCAGTGACCTCATCTCTAGGATTAGTGGTTAATGAAATGTCAAGAGAACTGATGAAAGATAACGGTGATTTCTTTAGTTACCACTCAGAGAGATTTGGAGAAATTCACTACTGGTTTACTTTTTAGGTAACAGACTTTAACATCATACCAATAATTGGAAAACAAGCATTTACCTTCCTTTGGTTTCACGACTGGTTTTTCCTTAGGTGGAATAAAAGCTTTGTTTCTTTCCTCTTGTCTCTTACTGAGAGCTTCTGCTTGTTTAGCCTGCATTATTAGTAAGAACGATTTATCATTAAGTAGGAATTCAAGTTTTTATGAACTATATGCTATCAATGTTGTGAGCTAGACAGAGTCTTACCTTTATGGCTTCCATTTTCTGACGCTTCTTTTGACTTGCCTTCAGAAAATATTCACCACTAGCCAATTCTTTATCAATCTGTTGAAATCATGATTTACAATTACATCAGAAAATAGGTAGATAAAAGACATTTCCTAGGAAATGCTAATGCCCTTGAGTTAAAGATAGCAAGGTCAAAAATCCTTGATAAATTCATAAAGGCGGTAACATAAAAAAAGGAGATGTGCTCTAACCTGAAGGGAATACATGCAAAAAGCATGAAGGTAGGAAAGGAGGTGATGTATTCATGAAATATACAGCAGGCTGTTTTAGGTGGGATGGAACATCAATGATTCAGGAAGATGTGAGGAAACTGGAAAGATGATATGGGGTAAGCTTGAAGAAATGTGCATGCCAGGTGAAGAGGGTGGGCTACGATTTAGAAATGTCTGCAGGTTTCTGAGAGAAATGGAGACCAAAGCAGTATTTAAAAGGTACAGAAGAAAAAAAAAAAAAGGTAAAGAAAGAAGAGAAAAACACTTGGAATAAAGTAATGGCATGCAAAATGAAGAGCAAGAATTGTTAGGATTTGGGGACTAATTCAACACTAATTAGAGAAAGCAACACCTTATTCATCCCACATAGAACTGATTGATCTCAAACTTACACAGCATTATTATATCTAAGGCAATGTTTTAAACTCGTAATAATTAATCTCTTTACAATTACTAAACTACAATTACTGATCATTTAACCCTCATTAACAATCCTTTGAGATAGATATTTATTTATATTATCCCCATTTTATGTACAGGGGAAACTGAGGCATGGGTGGGCTAAATAAATTGCCAGTCATGAAGCAAGTAAGTGGCAGGAAAAGTCAATTGAGACATTACTGTTTTAAGAAGTTTAAGTCACAGGAGAGGAAGGTAAGACAATTACTAACTAGAGGACAGGCCCATAAGAAGGATAGCAGGTGTTACGGAAGCACGCCTGAGTAATAAGATCACTCTACCTTCCCCCAACTAACAGTGCCTTTCTTTGCTTCCCTTTCCAGAATAGACCTCATGATCCAACACTTCCATTGTTTTATCACCATGATCACTTTTCCACTCTGACCTTCATCAAGCCTCTGATATTCAAACTCCAAATATAGAAAGAGATGTGTTACTATGCTGAGAACAAAGAACTAGTAGAAAGGAAGGACCTTTCGATACAGCCAACGTAGGGAATCATGACGTAAGATCCCTGAGGAGATAGGTGAAGACAGAATTCAAAGAACAGGTGAAGAAAGGACTGGTGCAGATGGAAAAAAAAATTACAGGTGAGAGAAAAGGAAGGTGAAGGAGTTCTCACTTGATAGTCTTAAATACTGCCATACAATAAAATACAGTGTCATCTGCTAGAGGTGGGAGGGTGCTTCAAGAACTAAGAGGACACACACAACTACTAGACAACAGTGAGGATCTGAGGTTGGAAATGCAACATTATAGTGGATACAGTCCAAAGACTTTCTCCAAATATGTTTAGCAGCCACATTATGGGAAAGGAGTCAAATTTTAGGACTGACCAAGTTTGAGAGTTTTGCTGGACAGATGTGATAGGAGGAAAAGGCAGCATAAAAGAAACAGCGATGAGACAGAGAAAAGGAAATTTATTTATTTATTTATTTATTTATTTATTTATTTATTTATTTATTTATTTATTTATTTATTTATTTTTTGAGAAAAGAGAATTTGGGGAAAAAAAATGAAGCCAGAAAACAAGTGACCAAATGAGAAGCCCTCATAAATTAAAAAAAAGAGGGGGTACAGATGTTAGAATTTAAGATTTCAAACCTGGAGCATATAGCACATGGTCACAAGAATGATGTTAAGGCAGAGTGAGAGCACTAAGGATTAAGTTGTGTTGTTGTTGTTTAATCCATGGGATGTTTATTGTGGCCACAGGGGCACAACTGACAGCAACCACCCAGACAGAGGTTACACTCTTACTGTGAAGCCCCTACTCCCCACGCCCACACTTAGCTCAAAATAAGTCTATTTACACTTACCTTTAGTTTCTTATACCTACACACACACACACACACACACACACACACACACACACAGAAAATCTACCTAAATAACTCTCCATAAACTTTCTAACAAAATAGATTAAAATGGTATCCCCCTAATGTAAATAAATTCAACATTAATACTGACCTGACTTTCTGGCTGCGGTGGTGGGAATGGTGTGTACTCTTTCTTGACAGTTTTCTTCTTTGGCTCCTTGCGTTTATTCACATTTTTGTGCTTGAACTGTGGCAAGAATCTTTCCCAACTCTGTGATCTTAATTCAGAATCTTTTGCCAACTCTCGTTTAATCATTAAGGTCTTTAGTCATGGTGATATATGAACAAAGAAAGAATTTTTAATTTTATAAGTAATACATTTGTCAAACTAAGACATTATAAATATTATTCCTATAAATAATACAATTAAAATGAGTAGTTCTTAATCTCCTCAGTAGGAGCAAAAGACTCCATAAGAAAAGTAATCTCAAATCAAGCATCAAGAAAACCATTAGAAATTTAGATTAAGAAATGCAGAATTATTGGGGTGCCTGGGTGGCTCAATTGGTTAAGCGTCTGCCTTCAGCTCAGGTCATAATCTCAAGGTCCTGGGATCGAGTCCCATGTCAGGCTCCCTGCTTAGTGGGAAGCCTGCTTCTCCCTTTCTCCCTGCTCTCTCTCAAAAACAAAAACAAAAACAAAACAAAACAAAAACCAAAGAAAAACCTTAAAAAATGCAGAACTGTTAAAATGAACTGAGATGAGACAACTCAGCTTTTCAACCATTAGTTCACTAAAACCTTTAAAATTTGGGTGCCTTGGTGGCTCAGGTCATAATCTCCAGATCCTGGGCTCGAGCCCCGTATCAGGCTTCCTGCTCAGCAGGGAGTCTGCTTCTTTTTCATGCTCTCCCTCTGCCCCTACCCATCACTTGTTTTCTCTCTCTCTCAAATAAATAAAATCTTTAAAAAACAAACAAAAAAGTATTTAAAATACATATTAATTGGAACAGGGAGAGTTAATTAGCAATGTTCCCTAAAAGCTGGAAGTTTTTGGGTAGCACTTTAATTATCACAGGGAAAGAAAAAAGTAAACTTTCTCTTGATCAGACAAAACCAATATTCTCACATTTCTCCCACTCCATGTGAATTCTGCACACACTGGAACATCAAAGGATGCAAACCGGGCATCAGATACAAGACTAGCAGCTCTCTTTATCTTTAATGCCCCAAGGCAACTCAAAATCGTTCTTCCATCCCAATCTAAGAGTGACTTTGTAACTTTATCAAATTTAAGTGGATTGCTTCAAAAATACCCTCATGAAATAGTTCATAACAACAGGTATAATCATGAATTATACGTTCCCAGGTATAATCATGAATGCTGAGCACACGAGGATATAACAGATCTCTCTCAAAGAGTTTATAATTTGAGCATTAAATTTAAAAAAAAATAGTGTTAATGCAATCTGACGTATTCCAGACTCTACTAATAGAAAAAGGGCAGAATTCTGAACGATCACATCTTCAAATATAGTAATGGGCCCATAATCCAAGAAAACCTGATTGAGATCATCTACGACCAATTTCATGAAGTGTATGTCAGAACATACGTATCAGAACTACACCATACGTTATGGCACAGCACAGAGACCTAAGCCTCCACGGATATAACTCCAGGACTAGGGTAGTTGAGTGTGCAGAACTCTACCTCTACCCTGAATAATTCTGCTTTATCTGCTTTGTGCATTAGGCTTCCATAAAAGATCTAATTTCAAGAAAAGTTTCTGCACCTAAAAGAAGTCTGACAATCACTGTTACAGTAACATATAATTAACTCACTTTAATGTTATAAATTGGATGGATATTCTTCATAGTATCTAGGACTACTTTTCGAACCTGAAATTTGCAAAGAAAAATGAATTAGTCATTTTTTTTTATAAATATTTCTTCTTCTTCTTTTTTTTTTAAATTTTTATTTATTTATGATAGTCACATAGAATGAGAGAGAGAGAGAGGCAGAGACACAGGCAGAGGGAGAAACAGGCTCCATGCACCGGGAGCCCGACGTGGGATTCGATCCCGGGTCTCCAGGATCGCGCCCTGGGCCAAAGGCAGGCGCCAAACTGCTGCGCCACCCAGGGATCCCTGAATTAGTCATTTAAAAAGATTTTAATGAACTCAGCGGAAGGGGATTAATACACTGCAACATACCCTATGAACCAGGCAATGACTCCCAAATTGAATACAGTAGGCCTTCAACTGCTCTGGGTGACCTCTAGATCTTTCATAATAGTCAACTTCTCTTGGAAGCAATGGATTTTCTCAACTTACTGCTAAAATGTAACACATAGAACTAATACAACAACATTTTGGAACTGTGGAATTTAGGAAGAAAGTAGCTAGATTTAGTCAGAAAATACGGGCTCAATAATGGGAATGCCACTTCATAAGGGAAAGTCACCTAACTGTCCTTTTCCTGCTTTCTCATTTGTAGTACGGAAGTAAAACTATCTCAAGGCTCTGCTGTAAAAATTAAATAAGACAATATATTTAGACTTCACAAAACCACAGGATATTCAATATATTTAAGTTATTATTACTGCCACATGAGAAGAGAACAGATAACTAGAAGAGGTCCAACAGAACTATTGTAGGTTCTAGAAAGGGAACAAGACCTCGCAGCCAGATCCAGACAACAATAGGAGTTAAGACACAGTAACTGCTCCACAGATTTTCTCATAACATTAAATATTACACTAAACTTCAGACAAAGGAAAAAAAAAAAAAAACAATTTTAAAGGAAAGAAGTTTCCAGAATCTGACCTCTACTGGTTTATATAGGTTACTGCAAATAATATCACCATTCAATTCTCTAATCACTTGAGCACATGTAACTACACATTTCCTGTATGTGCTACAGACTAAAAATCTTAAATACTCATTTGTAGTGGAAAAAGAAATGATGTGCAGACCTTCTAACTCAGGAGTGGATACTTCCTTAGTTGCCAAAGGTTGGCCATGTTATGTTAGGATCTAGGAGTGATGATTCCCTTAAATAACATGAAGCACAAAGTATTTACCAATGGGAAATCAAAGCAACCACATTCCAAAAAAATAGTAATTGAAAAACAGTATATTATCCAAACAACTATTATAACCAAATTATTTAATTTGTTTTATGCTGAAAATTAACTGAAGATAGTAAATAGTTCTCACCTCTTTTAAGCCACTAAAAGGTCCAATGACTGAAACCGTGTTTCCCTGAACCATAATATAACAGTTGGTTAACAGTTCCAAAGCCTATAACAAAAGAATAAGCTCAAATTCAGTACAATGAAAAACTAGTGACAGAGAAAGACTCAAGTTTTCCACTGATAAAAAGTACCTTTAATGTAGATCCTTTGGGGCCAATGAGACGTTGTCTTCTTTTTACAAATCTTTCTTTATTTCTTACTAAAGAACCTATTTTAATGATGTCACACGCAACATCATCCTGAAGAATTCGTACTGCCTTTGGGAAAAACGAAGAAAATATTCCATCAATATTCTTTACAAACACATTTGTTTTCAAGGCCCAGGCTAATGAAATCCAACCAGAAAAATAAAAACTCTAAGATGGAGGGATGCAGTATTATATGTTATCTCTAAAGTTGATGCAAATACAGCAAAGTTTTTGTAATTCTAAATTTACCTGTTCAAATGAAACACTTCTTGCTAAAAGTTTTATTAGGTCTCTGGCCCTAATGATGATATACGGATCAAAAGTCTTCTTTGTTGTACAAACAGTCATACTGCCCTCGATCAGGTCCAGGGTTGCATTAACGTGCTGTGAAAAGCAAAGAGCAAATACACAACTGTCTAAAAATCAATTCGATTTTAGGTAATTACAGAGCCTATCTTATCAAACTATTAATTACTGTAAATTAAGCTCTAATTCTATCAACTCCCCCCTTGAAGAAGCTGAGTAGTTGATAAAAATAATGAACATTTGATTACTTTCATATTTCAAAGAATGTAAGAAACTTAGGCACTGAAACCATTTCTACCAGGCTTTAGAATTTTGTACTTAAAGATGATTTCTAGTTTAAAAAATATGTATCAATGCAAATGAGGTCATACTTAAGACCTAGGATGAAAATCTAGAGCTACATATAGCTCCTCTATCCTGGACGGGGCTCTGATCTGCCATCTGCTCCTTTGGGTTAAGAACAGACTTTTCCTTTCAAACTTTCTTCTAGCTGGTTTGTATTAGCTAAATACAAAGTAAAAACAAATTCTCATAGGTTCAGAAAGAAAAAATAACTGGAAAGTTAGGCATTAACTCTTAATAGGAAGAAACAGATTTCAACAAAGCAAATTAAAATGTCATTTTCTGATAGCATCTTGTGAATTATATTTCAGTGTAGTGAGTGATGAACAATTCAACATAAGGTTGGGTCTCTGTGAGTTTACAAGTCTAATCTCAGATGCAGACAGCTGTAAAACAGCCTGCGGTTTGCTGAACCACCCTAATACCTAACGGGCACAAAACTCTGGAGCAGTCACCTAGATGAGAAACACATTTTATATCACAACCTGGTGTGTGCACAGGTTCTCATGTGCACATATATAAATGAACCAAAAACTTCATAAAATGAAACTTATCCTTACCATATGTGATACATATTTTTATTTTTTGGATGCATTCCTTTTTTTAAGGCTCATTATATCCATTAAATGGGATTTCTTGCTCTACTAATGGGTTTCAATCCAGTTTGAAAAACAAAAACAAATGTATTACTCTAGGGAAATGGCAATAGCTACATACAGAGGATAGCTGGCCACACCCTACCTCTTCCATTTAAAATGAAAATTAAGAAATCATCCAGGAACATGCCTCAACTCAAACTATACAGAAACATGGCAAATATCACAGTATAGAACAGGCATCCTGAACTTGAAGTTCACAGATGAGTTTCAAAAAGTCCATGAGATCCCTAAAGTTCTAAAGGTGTGTGAATTTTTTAAAGTAATCTATTACTCACAAAATTAAAAACAAGTGGATTATAAGAATAAAGCTTATATCTAGGTTGTTTAAAAGGAACCAGGGGCACCTGGGTGGCCCAGTCAGTTAAGCATCCGACTCTTGATTTCAGTTCAGGTCATGATTTCAAGGGCTGTGAGATCAAATGTCACGTCGGGCTCTGTGTTCGGCAGAGACCACGCGGGACTCTGCCCCCCGCCTCTACTCACACATGCCTGTAGGTGCACACACTTACTCTAAAGATCTTTCTTTAAAAAAACAAAACACCAAAAAAGGAACTAAATTAACTACTTACGCTAGTACCTTTTTAAAAAATCCACCAGCATACTTATTTTTAACAAAGGCATAAAAGCAAAATCTCAAATAAGTATATAAAATGTGCATACATGTTCATTCAAGGCTTTCTGTACCAAAGGCCAGCACTCTTTCAAGTAAGCCTCTCTATATTTTGGGAACAAAGTTGCAAAACTGCTCTCCTCCAAGAGTCCTCTGGGATTGTCCTCTTTAGAAAAAGCGGGTTCCTTCCAACCGTCAGGAACAGTGAGGAGCTCCTCAGATTCATCTAAAGAGAAGAAACATACACGTAAGATTTTACCTTTCTTGTGGACATTTTTAAAAATGCTTATATGCGGGATCCCTGGGTGGCTCAGCAGTTTAGTGCCGCCTTCAGCCCAGGGCGTGATCCTGGAGTCCCAGGATGGCGTCCCGCGTCGGGCTCCCTGCGTGGAGCCTGCTTCTCCCTCTGCCTGTGTCTCTGCCCCTCTCTCTGTGTTTCTAATGAATATATAAATTAAAAAAAAAAAAGCTTATATGCATACATTTACATGCTTCCCAATACTCTGTAGTTCCTGTTCCCACGCTCTTTAGATGATTCAACAAAGAACATGACTCCGTCATTGTTTATCAACACACTATTAAAATCAACCGTCTACACTTCAGCCTCATAGGACGAAGTTCCTTAAGGGCAGGGACCCTCCTTGGGTCTACAGTCCTCAGCGCTGCTCTGAAACTTCCACTGTACGACACGGTCTTAGAGTCAAAGATCCTAATACCACTTTGTTTCAATACAAATAACCTGTTAGACTTTCCTGAACTGCCGCCTGTGTGTGTGTACCATATAAATATGTGTGTGTATATATATATATATGTATATACACACACACACACACACACACACACAGAGGCATGTATATTTTGTGCACACGCGCACACACGGACTTAAAAGCTGATATTCTGGTGGAAACTCTGTTACCAATCACCGGTAGGTACATGGCTCCAGACTTTCCAAGGAGTTTCCATGTGCCTTGCTTCTGCATACACCTTCATGACAACTGTGAAATGTGGGAAGGACGGGTATTATTTTTCCCATTTTGTAAGAAACGTTTAGTCCAAAAAAAAGAAAAGATGAGTGACCGGTCTGTCTAAAGGGACACAAAAGTGATTCGGTCTAAGTCTCCTCTCAATGAAATGAAATGTCTCCTAAGGGCATAAACGATCTCCGACATCATTTGTTAAAACTCCTGGTCCTGGGGCCGGGAGTGGTTGAGCATCTTCCTGGGGCCCAGGTCGTGACCCCGGGGTTCTGGGATGGAGTCCCGCGTTGGGCTCCCTGCATGGAGCCTGCTTCTCCCTCTGCCTATGTCTCTGCTTCTCATGAATAAATAAATAAAATCTTTTAAAAAACCCCCGAAACTCCTGGTCCTGGGGCCACAGCGGTTGAGCATCTTCCTGTGGCCCAGGTCGTGACCCCGGGGTCCTGGGATGGAGTCCGCGTCGGGCTCCGCGCATGGAGCCTGCTTCTCCGTCTGCCTCGGTCTCTGCCTCTCATAAATAAATAAATAAAATCTTAAAAAAACAAAACAAAACAAAAAACTCCTGGTCCTGGGTTTCAGGATCTCTTGAAGCCAAGGGCTCTGACAGCCGGCCCTTGGCGGCTCGGCCACTCGGCAGCCTCCGTCCCCGCCTTCAGGCCGCAGGAGCGTCGGGAACCGGCCTACGCGCGGGAGCCGCCCGAGCATTAGGGCAGCGAGGGGCGCCCCGGAGGCCGCGACCCCCGGGCCGGCGGAGCCGCCGCCGCCGCCCCCCGCGACCCCAGCCTCCCCGCCCCCCCCCACCCCCCGGCCCCGAGGCGGACTCCACCCCACAGAACGGACGCCACGTCCCCGGCCAGCCGCAACGCAGCACCCACCCCCCGATTCTCGGTTCTCACTCGACCTCACCTCGTTTCTCCGGCTTCGGCTGCTTCGGACGAAACTCACTCCTCCCGTTCGCCTGGGCCAGCCCGTGGAAGGAGGAGGCCGCCATCTTCCGGCTACTTCCGGCGCCACCGGAAGTGGGGCTGCTCTTAAATCCTACCGGCTATTCAGGCCTAAGAACCTGTTGGCTCGAAAGGAGTTCCATAGAACGCAGACGAGGAGATCTGCGCAATTTCCGTGCGTGCGTCTGTGCCTGCGTAGCCAATGGACAGCTGCGGACTCTTTTCCCAGGATGCACGGCAACCACGGAGGTTGGCTGTATGCTGGGAGTTGTAGTCCAGCGCTATGGGGAGTTGGAGGCCCAACTCTACTATCCTGAATATTCATGCATGCATTAAATAAATCTTGGAATTTATCTGGAATCTTGGAAACCTACAGTTTCCTTTCGGTCCTTGTGTCTAGCTCAGGGTCTTGGACTCCAGGGTTTGGTCGCAGAGTGCACTCGGCCTGTCATTGATGTCACACACTCACTCATTTCATGATATTTATTTGACCCTTAAATAATTTGATAATATTTATTTGACCGTGCTAGGTCTAAATAGGAAGTCCAAATATGAAGATGCATGATCCTTGATGGCACAGAGTGGCAGCAATAGCTACCATTTATTGTGACACTGCTTTGTGCCCCACACTGTTTGCATTTCTATTTCTTAAAACTAAAACTGATGATTTTTTTGTAAGATAGTTTTAAAAAGTCTTTGTTTCCCATGGTAATTGCCTAGGGTCTTGGTACTTCTCTTTCTAAGCCACAGGGATAGCACTTAAGTGACCCTTCTTAAATATTTCACCAAGCTTAAGGTTTCCCAAAACACTACCTCAACGCTGCCTATGGCTGACTTCAAGATGTGAGGTTTATCACTACTGCATATTTTTGCACTTCTAAGAATCCAAAAATTCTTAGACACATTCAAGGTGAGACTTCTTTTGATGACTGATCTTACTGCTTGCCATTTCTAAAATTGCCTGCAGCACAAGTTGGGAAAGTCTCAGGTTGAATTTCTTGCCTTCGTGAGACTAGGAACATTTATTTGAAATCCACCCTTGTGTATCTTCTATAAAAACTTAAGATTGTTGTACATAAGGCGCATATGTAAAACAGACTGTTAATTAGGGACGTAAGGTCCCGAGACACATGATTATGTTAAGATTATTTTTCCTGGGGCACCTGGATGGCTCAGTCCGTTAAGCATCCGACTCAGGTTTTAGCTCAGGTGGTGACCTCAGGGTCATGAGATGGAGCACAGCATGGGGCTCTGTGCTAGATGTGGAGGCTGCTTAAGATTTTTACTCTCCCTCCTCCTCTTCCCCATCCCACTCACATTCTCTCTCTCTCTCAAAAAAAAAAAAACCAAAAAAACAAAAAACAAAAAACCGAAAAACAAAAAAAACCCCAAAACCCAAATTATCCCATTTTTATAAAGCAAATGATTCAATAAGTATTTATTGAGGATCTATAACGTTTCAGGTTCTACGTGCTGGATATAATAATTATATGTGTGTGTGTATATATATATATATATATATATATATATATATCCGAATATATGTTTGTATGTGATTATACAACAAGAAAAGACTTAGAAGGCTACATACACCTCAAGGTTATAAAGCTGGCTATCTTAGGGATAAAGGCAGAAAAGAAAAAATAAGCAGGCAAAAAGACAAAAAATAGGTAGAAAATAATAATCATTATTTATTTATTTTATTTATTTTGAAAATAATAATCATTAGAAAAATAATGTCAACAAAAATAAAGGTCTTTGCATGAAAGCCTAGAAAACCTGGGAATCTAGGAGAGAGATCAAATTTGAGAAACATATTCAGTCTTGGAATGTTTGCTGTACAACAACATGTTTCATGTGTCATGGTGTTGGGATGAAATATGCTTGCAGGATATCAACCCCTTCTTGCAAGGCCCCACTTAACCAACTCTGTAGATAAGGACACATGATGTGCAGCTTTGGCTGCTAAGTCACTTGAGTAAACACTTAACCAACCTCTGTTTCTTCAGCTGTAAAATGAAAAATTGAGTTAGATTAATGCTTCTTAAACTTTAGCCAACTTCAGATGCATGTGGAGGGTGACCCTATTCCCGGTTTATGGTTCAGTAGGTCTAGGACAGGGCCCAAGAATTTGCAACCTGGAGAACAAGGAATTATTTAACCCCAAAATGTCGATAGTGCCAAGGTTGAGAAACTGGGGACTTATAGATATTCTTAATTTCTGTGATTCTACTTCAAAGGGCTAGTAAGGGCTTTACTCAGAACCAGACATGCAATGAAAGCGAAGTTATTTCCCACTTTTTCTCACTATTTCCCACTGCTAGGGCAGAACTTACCTGGTATCAAAGCCAAAGTTTCCAGATGGTTGCTCATTATTATGCTGGGCTCTTTGGTGGACAATCTTGCTCCATTTCCTGGAATTCTGTTGTCTCATTACCCAAACACACACTGATACTGCTATATACAGTGGATGCTTGAGGTCTAAAGACACTCATTGAATATTAGTCTCTCTGGGCCCCAGGCCCACAGAACATTAATATTTCATTGGGCCTCTCCTACTATTTCCAAGGCAATCTTCCATCTTTCTCTTCTTGATTGTTCTTATTGATAAGCAACAGCTTTGATTTAATTTTCAGTTATAATATTCTTCTCCCTAAAGGAAAGCTGGAATACATTTCATGATATTAGGTTTCACCAAAGCAACAGAAGGCTTTTTAATGCATGCATGAATATTCAAGATTTAATCAGTGGCATGTGAAATGTATTGGTATTGCTGAGAATTATTATTTTATGCAAATATAACAAGCAAACTACAGTCTTTTATTTGTTTACATGATACTGGGGGAATATTTGAATTTCTCCGGGAAGCAGATTTCTAGTCATTTGTTAAATCTATATGCGTCTCCCATCCTTCAGACAGTGGTAACCACAGATGGCTCTTGATGAAATGAACTTTTTTTTTTAATGAAATAAACTTTTTAGATTATGTATTTCAAACATTTAATGGGTTTTTATATTTAAACAAGTCATTTCATGATGTTAATAAGATGGTGACATGGCTTCTCCATTGTTTCAAAATCTCAACTTAAATTCTAGCTTTCTGATACACTTAGAGACTGGAAATTCAGTCTTAACACTACATTTTTGCTCTGATCATCTATCAGTGACTTTAATCTGTTGGTTTACAAGTCCCTTTACTGCTAAGATTAATCAATGGACCCTTTCCCCAGAAAAGCACATATATTTGGGTACACATATCATTTTACCCACAGTTTGATGAGATGGTCACATTTCTGTCACACTGTTTCATAAAAACCCTAGAGGATCAAGCCATCAGGTTAGGGACCCTTGCCTTAAAGCAACACGGGAGGCATGTCTCAGAAGCCTGGATCTGATCTCATGAGCACTCAAGTCCTCTGCTTTTAGAGTTCTCCAGGACAGGCAGGATTAGAATTTTAGTATGCTTCAGGACTTGCGCATAAGTACACTTCTCAAGATTCTTTTGAGTGCAAGTCATACAACATTCAAAGTAATAAGTAAAAAAGAGGACTTACTGTCCTACATACCTGGGAATTGGACCTAGGACCTCAACAGTGTCATAGAAACATTCATGCTCTTTGTCTATCATAACTTTGAGATCTCTCTCTCTCTCTCTCTGTCTGTCCTTCCATCTTTTGGCTCTGCTTTTTCTGTGAGGTTCTTATTCTGAAGCAAAGATATCTGCCAGCAGTGCAGAATTAAATTCTTAGCAGAAGAAGAGTTTCTTTCTTTCTAAGAATTCCATCAAAAGTCCCAGGAAGACTCTCAGTGACCAGTACTGGATCACATGCTAAAGCCAGAGGTGGGTTACACCCACATAAACCATCTGGGCCTAGAATGGGAGTGAACAATTCCTAAGGAGGAATCTAGAGCTGTTGCCAAAAGAAGGGGAAGAGGGCAAAAACACGCAATGTGTAGTACGGTAAGTATAGCAAGGGCAGTGCAGGCGATTAATAGGTTTTCAGGTTTTACCCATCACCATTGCTCATTCCCATGCCACCATTTCATTAAAATAAGCCTACATATTTAAAGAATTACTTAGGCTGGGATGCCTGGCTTGGCTCAGTGGTTTAGCACCTGCCTTCGGCCCAGGGCATGATCCTGGAGACCCGGGATCGAGTCCCATATCAGGCTCCATGCATGGAGCCTGCTTCTCCCTCTGCCTGTGTCTCTGTCCCTCTCTCTCTCTCTCTCTCTCTCTGTCTCTCATGAATAAATAGCTAAAATCTTAGAAAAAAAAAAAGAATTACTTAGCCCCAGTCACAAGATAGATGGAGGAATTATGTACTAAAATTTTATTGGGGGTATGTGTGTATAGTAGTTCTCTATATTTGCTGTGAGCATTTTCAAATGTATTGATTGGTCTGTTAGGTTGATTTATAATTCTCTAGGCACATATGGTGATACTGAAAACATGATCTGCTGTAACTGTGGTGATTTGGTGTAATGTCTTTTTATAATGATTATTCTCTCATGTAGTGTATTTCCCTGCAGGAAATGGCTAAAAAATAGACTATTTTTACTAAAAAGCAGATAGACTAATATAACAAATGCTTTTGTAGACATAGTTAAATTTACGACATAAGTATTTCCAGCTAAAGCCCCTGTCTACACCTTCCTAATCTCATTCCTCCCCCTTTCCACCAGAGGTGACTACTATGCCAAGTTAGGAATTTATCATTTCCACATATATTTTTGTGTATGTGGCTACTACACACACATGTAATGTGTACTAAACAAGATAGAGTGGGCTTTAAATATTTTACATGACATTAATTACTTTAATGTATAATGTACATTAATGTATATATTAATATATTAATATTATAAAACTTAATATATTTAATATACATTACATATAATATATTACACATATATAATATATTATACATATAATATATTATACAATATATATAATATATTGTATGTATTAATGTATACATATATTAATAATGTATAATTATAATGTATAATTAATGTATAATATATACATTAATGTACATTATACAAAAATACAAGTTTTGTATATAATTATATAAGTATTTTATATT